ACATTTCCGTCACGCTTGAGGTATTCGGCCAATCACAACGCACTGGATATCTGGCCAATCAGAGCACACCTCGCTTTTCAGACCGATGAGCTTTGTAAAAATCGACAAATAATGTTCTTTTTAGCAACATCATATGACCCCTTTAACATCAATAATAATAATAAAAAAAAAAATGTTTCTTGAGTACCAAATCAGCATATTAAAATGATTTCTGAATGATCATGTGACACTGAAGACTGGAGTAATGACTGCTGAAAATGTAGTTTTGCCATCACAGGTAATTTATTCCTATATTTTATTTTATTTATATTACAGTATATGTATAAAAAAAGTTATTTTAAATTGTAATATTTCACTGTTTTACTGTTTTTACTGTAGTTTTGATTAAATAAATGCAGCCTTTGTAAGTCTAAGAGACTTCATAAAAAAAAAAGTACCTGCCACCAACTTTTGAACATTGGGCCTCATTCATGAAACTCGAGCAGAACAAATTTTTGTGTAAATCGTTGGTAAAGCTGTTCTGACGTAAAATGTGTAAACCTATGTGTAAATGGTGCGTAAAACGTTCTGTGTTCTTTTTGGCAAACTGATGACACTGAATTTTGATGCACTGCCATTATAATCTTTTACAAGTTCGTTTGCTCTGTTTTTGTTTGTTTTTTTTGTAGCTGGGAGTTGATAAACTGTTTAGCTTTGGGTAAAACGCAGCGCTTGTCACTGTCACTTTTTACCCAGCCGTCCAATCAATGGAGGAGGGGCGGGACAAATACGAGGCTACACCGACCAATCATCCTACTTGTACAATAACTGAACAACAATAGAGAAGTTAACATTGCTGGTTACTGCATTTTTATATTCAGTAATATTCTTCAAAATGAGATACTAGTAATGCGTTACTGCCGTGGATATTCCAAATTATAGCAATCAAAGCGTCTCAGCTGAAAAACCGCTGTGCCACCAAAGCGTCCTCCAGCACCACCAGCTAGTCGTTTTCAGAAGAGCGCCTGACATTTTTCAGCTGGCTAAAAACGCTTTGGTGGACACACGTTATTGAATATTTATTGTTAGGCATATGGCCTATTAGTCTTTTGTTGCATTTATGCAATATACTGGAGCCAAACCTAAGAAAGTAGACCAGAATATTCCACTGCGTTCCTGGACACGCAATTTGCGTAGCTGTAATTCATAGGCGGGGATTATGGTAATTGTGAATGAGCGTGCACGAGCGCCCTATTTACGAATCATTGGAATTCATTAATATACGCATGTTTAACTATCAAATCGGAAGTTTACGAAGCGTTTGTGAATCCGGAGGAGAGTTTTCGGGAAGGCCCGTTTTACGCGCAAATTACTCAGAATTTACTCCTATATTTACGAATGTTTCATGAATGAGGCCCATTGTGTGCATAATAGGAGTCCTTGTCTTCTATTGATCAAGCAAACAGATAGCCCTGCCCCAAACTCACGCCATTGGTTAAGCCTGTGTACCTCCAAATTACCCATAGTTTGCATATTAAGATGAATATTTAATCTCCCAGAGAATTGCACATTTCACTTTAAATTTAAAATTCATTTGGTCTAAGCATAAAGGAGACATTTAGCAATACTTCTCAAAAATCATTCATACAGTAGATGGCACGCTCAGCCTAGAAATTAAATATGGGTCAAAACCTAAATATCATTCCTGTCTGTATACAGGTGCATCGCAATAAATTAGAATGTTGTGGAAAAGTTCATTTATTTCAGTAATTCAGCTCAAATTGTGAAACTCGTGTATTAAATAAACTCAGTGCACACAGATTGAAGTAGTTTAAGTCTTTGGTTCTTTTAATTGTGATGATTTTGGCTCACATTTAACAAAAACCCACCAATTCACTATCTCAACAAATCAGAATACTTCATAAGACCAATGAAAAAAAGTGAATTGTTGGCCTTCTGGAAAGTATGTACACATGTGAGTCCACCTGGCTCTTTCCCAGAGCTTAATGTCTCTGTGTCAGCGTATCTGTCTGTCAATCTAGTAGGCCCATCTGTATCGGTGGTGGGTTGAGGACGAGGGAGCTTGTTCAAAGGTGTCGTGTTCCTAAAGTTCTGGTCTGTCAGGCTCTGTTCTCTCTTTCAGCCCTCATTACTGTTGCATAAGCCTTCAACCTGTACACAAAATCCCCCTCTGCTGTTTTACATGTGAAGTCTCTCTGTAACATGTCACACCAGGGGCGTAGCCATCATTTCAGAAGTGAGGGGGACAGAAATATCAAGAAATAACCATACATTTTTATTCTATAAGATTTTTTTCCTATGTTTTCCTAATGACAATTTTAAGATATGACTAGAAATTTTTTTTCCATTTTTATCACATATAATATATATTAATATATATTTTCCGAATAAAACATCAGATCATGCACAGACTATCCTGTCTCTTTGAATTTAAATCTATATGTATTCACACCGGCTCTTGAAAACCTCTATGCGAACACACTTGCCCGAAAACGTGCGGGGGACGAATTTACGTGATATTAAAAGTGGGGGGGACACGTCCCCCGCGTAATCTACGCCCCTGTGTCACACACATAAGCCACAAACATATACAGTATGAGGCGCATTTGTCCATGAATGGGGTACAAAATATGGTCTAAAACTATTTAAAAATTAGCGATGTTTTTCTTTTCCAACATGTGATCAGTGAATCAGCGCAACCTTCAGAAAATGTTAAACATCAGCCTTAGGTGATGAAACTAGATATTATATGAGGTTTTATGTTTCATTCATTTAGAGGTTTGCATGTTTTGCAACCCTGTTAACAAAATTTGGGGCATGAATAAATAGTTTTAAACTGACATGTAGTTGGGTTGTAAATAAAGATAAAAATGAACAGACAAAATGTTAAAACAATCAAAATTATGTCAGGATGGGTAATTTGGCATCAAATGTTGATTTGTAGTTAATAAACTTACACTTCCATTCAAAAGTTTAGGGTTAGTAATATTTATTTAAAAGAAATTAATACTTTTATTTTGCAAGGACACATTAAATTGAACAAAAGTGATTGTAAAGACATTTATAATCATTGATAATAAGAAATGTTTCCTGAGCAGTAAATCATCATATTAGAATGATTTCTGAAGGATCATGTGACACTGAAGACTGGAGTAATGGCTGCTTGAAAAATCAGCTTTGATCACAGCGATAAATTACATTTTAAAATATATTCAAATAGAAAAGTTATTTTAAATTGCAATAATATTTCACAATATCACTGGTTTACTTCATTTTTATCAAATAAATGCAGCCTTGGTGAGCATAAGTGACTTGTTTAACGTACTAACACCAATAAAATCTCAGTCCACAAACTTAAACAGTAGTGTGCATTTATTATATGAATTCTGGTTTCTCTCATCTGTAGCACACCATGACTTTGGCAACTTTTATGGCTCCAGCTACGTGGCTGCACCCGATGGCAGCAGATCCCCAGGATTATCCAGAACCCGTGATGGCCTGCTGCTGACAGAGATGGACTTGAACCTAAATCGGCAAGTTGCAGACAAATGGAACTTCAAGGTGGGATAAAAAAAATCACTACATGTTCAACTATACTACAGTATATTCCTTCAGAAAGATATCTCATCATCACCATCACTGTAGGACTAATCACATCCTATAAATACTGAATACGGTTTGTTTCTGGTAGCATCTGTGTGCCATTCACATGTATGAATCTCTCCGTAGATGACTGGAAGGTATGAAATGTACGCAGAAGAGCTCAAAAAAGCCATCCAGCATGACTTCAAACCCAACATTCTTAAGGAGTGAGCTTATAAGGAAAACCGTGCTGTCAGCTGAAAGCCAAACTCTGCAGATGCAGGAGAACCACATTATGTATTAGGGATAAGTCCTTGTACCTCTACTTGAATTTCACAAAATAACTTATATAATTTTAATAATTTATCGGTTCATTTTTAAGGTCAATAATGGAAGGATGCATTTGATTAAAATACAAATACAACTTTTATTAATTTCTGAAATGCTACTATATATTTCATAAAAATAAAGTTTGCCATATCAACATTCCTTATGGTCTTTAAAAAAAAAAAAAAAAGCAGAAGTTGATGTAATCGGGACACCTGATGTCTTAAAAATCAAAGGAAAAAACAACAAAATAACATTTAACCTGAATGATCAAAGATTAAATAACAATTATGGCTGGTGGAACACCATAGTGCAAGCATTTAATTTGTTAGCCATTGTGCAACAAACCATCAACGACTGAACTATTTGAACCACTGAGCAGGCGTAGTGTGTTTACAAGATAGCAAACAGTAAAGTGTTCACAACACTGTGTTCAGACCTTTTCAAACGGTGCACAACACCTTACGGTAAACCTCTAATCCTAGTGTTCCTGTTCTCTCTCAGAGGAATTAAAGGAATTAAAGTTGCTATGTATTATGCCAACACAATGTAATCATGAGAATTAAACTGCATAATATTGTAATTTACACAGAAACAGGTCTAATACTGTACTAGTGCTATGAGTGAGTTTAAAGTGTACTTTATGGTCAAGGTTCACAGAGTTCAGTCGCCCACAAAGCAGCCAAACTCTCTCTTGCTACTCTACATGAGGTTATGACAGAAGTCCAGGTGATTTTGCTCTTGAGGAAACCCCTGGAGAAATGAATCCACGCATATTGCACCTATGAAACGTTTCTTTTTCCCGACAGTGGGATATAATTTAACATGCTGGATTTATCAAATCTTACCGGAGATTTTAAAAACAGCTTTCCTCTTGCACAATAATTAAAAACTTTCACTGTATTCTTAATTAAGTGGCTTCCAAGAGATAAAAAAGAAGAAAAATCAACACAACCCCATGATTTTGCAAGGTTACCCTGAACGAACACAAAATCTTTATCTTTACATGAATGACAAACATTATGTACACTCCTCCTCCACCTCTTACAGTGGCAGAGACTATATAAATCATATGAGCTATAGATAAAAATATAAGTCCACATCACAATAATGATGAGTTACATACACATACCATCTCCCTTTCCTTTCTGCATGAATAATTCATTCTGTGGCCGATGTAGCACCATAGTAATGTTTTGTGCGATGCTATAGCTCTATTGAAGACCATAGCCAGAGGTGAAACATACTACCTGCTATTGGCCAGCAGCGCTGGTCCCTGTGGGCAAAATTGCTACCCAGCCAACCACAGTGGATGCAAAAGGGGTTTTGAACGTGCGTTCATTCAGAAGCGGTCAAGACTCAACCGTCTTTGTAGATGAACAGAATGTCCTCGTCAGTTCCGTAGCTTCTTCTGGCCTCCTCAAAATTACTAAAGCTTGTACAGCACACACCTGGCCATCAAAGAGATGGGCATATGAGACACAGTTTTAATGTTACTGCTATGTGTGAAGATTCTGTATTATCATTAAAGGAATACTTCACCCAAAAATGAATATCCATTGATGAGCAAGTGTTGTAATGCTACATTTCTCCAAATCTGTTCTGATGAACAAATTCATCTACATCTTGTATGACCTGAGGGTTAGTACATTTTCAGCATAAATTCCTTTTTGGGTGAACTATTCGTTTAAAAATAACCGTAATATACACTATAATAAATAAGGCTGTTTGTTCTCAGATATATGTAGCCTCAAAAAAAGTATTTGGAAACTTCAAAATAAATATATATTTCATTACATTAGATAGAAAGTATCCAGATATATTTATTTAAATATCGGAATTCATATTTAACCATATATTTAATGATTTAAACCTTTTATGTGTGTTTTTTTAATGTTTTGCATTGAAATATTGTGCTTGTGCTGTCTTTAAGAATAATGCCAAAACTTCACAATACATACGGTCTGAGTAGGCCGGATTGTTGTAGAAGATGCTGCCGGTTCTACGGTTAAATCCACACACCACTACAAAGTGGCCCTGGTAATCTGGCTTCCTGCAAAAGCACTTCTGACCCACAGGGAGGAAACAGCAGTATTTGACAGGCGTGGAGCACAGCTCACACACCAGCACGACTGCGTTGACCAGCACTATGGCCACATGACCCTGCTCCAGGTGGCTCTGGATCTCCTGAATAGTAACAGAGCTACAAGAGAGAGATGTGATCAGATTTCTTCAAAGCACTGCACAGGTGTGAATAGGTGAGAATATGTTTTAATAGAACTGGAACTATATCGATTAAATGAAATTATACGATTTTGTCTAAATGAATTAAAAAAATGAAACACTAAAAATTAGCATTTTAAATTGATTTTAAGCATCCATGTAGTCCAATCAGTAGAGCATGGCACTAACAACACCAAGGGCATGGGTTAGATTCCCACGAAATGCATGAATGATCAAAAAAAATGTCTTCAATGCAATGTGAATTGCATTAGATAAAAGCGTTTTTAAAGAGGAGTTAAATGTAGGGTGGCCATATGGGCCGTTCATACGGGACACGTCCTGGCCAGGATTTTTATATTCCCTAAAACATCCAAAGTAGTTTGACCAATAACATGCAGATATTGTATATAATCGACCAATCGTGGCGCGTGAGAAGGTGAGATCTACAGAGAACGATCAAAGCGATGCAAATACGCGCACGTTTTTGTTCGTTCGTTCGACTTGAAGCGTCACTGCGCACCGATAATTGAATGACAACAAAGTACCGTGAGAGCACTTCGAAAGCATAAGGAGCCGTCTGCTCTGCTCTCTATAGCTCTCGTGAATGTCATACAACGATCAATCTGCACAGTGCAAACAGCCAAAACTTGGATATTTTAAGCAATATAGAAATCCCAGCAAGGACGCGTCCCGTAAAAATGGCCCGTATGGTCACCCTAGTTAAATGTAAAAATAGGAGGATAGGCATGCATAATTAAATATACAATATCGTCAATAGCAATAAAGTCTTCAATATTGTGCATTGCTGCTTTTTGACCAATCAGTTTCCACGACTTTTCTAGTTGTGCATAATTACTGCATAAACATTTTTTTTAATCATATTATAAAGATTGCATCAGAGCAGAGCAATCAAATATTTTAGCGCCGAGCGTATATATATAATTTAATTGAAAACTAGAAAAATATTATTTCTATTAAATATACACATTTAGTTTTGTTTGTTTGTTGTTTTTTATTTGTATTTTTTTTACAATTGGATTCATTTCCATGTTTTTTCAAGCTTGGAATTTAGTTTTTAATATTTCCATGTTTTCAATGATGATTTTAACCCTGTATATCAGGCACAAAGTGTCAGTATGCACCACAAAAAAAAAACAAAAAAACAGAAACGGTTTTAAATGTGGAAACCTCACCATTTTTTCACCAGGACTCCTTTGCTTTCAGCCTTCAGAAATAGTTCATTCACCCTGTCCTCCTCCATGTCAAAATGCTTTTTGTAGAAAGACTAAAGCAGAAAAATACAGGAAATGGAAAAATTATTCAGATGCCAATGTGATTACTCAACATCTGAGTCGGAACTGATCCTCTGTTTAAAATTACAGCTCAAAATTAAAAAAAAAAAAAAAA